CAGAAAGTAGCTTCCGAGAGTAAAACGACAAGGGTCTCCACTCGGAGTTAGCGCACTGCTGTAAGACGGCTCCGACGGCCACGCTGGATGCGTCCACCATCAACCGATTAGGGGCGTTGCTGCGTGGATGAATGAGAAGCACGGCGTTAGCGACCGCTTGCTTAGCAGCACCAAAGGCGGCCTGGGCCTCTGACGACCAAGGAATGGTGGAGGACGGGCCGGCGGTCGACCGAAGGAGGTCGGTGAGCGGTCGTAGCAGTTCGGCACAGTGTGGTATGAAGCGCCTGGAAAAATTCACAAGCCCCAGAAATTGGCGTAATTGGCGCAGTGTTGTAGGCCAAGGATAATCCTGAATTGCTTTAACGTGGGACCGGAGAGGGCGTATTCCTTTGGATTATATGTGATGGCCCAAGAACTCGAGCTCAGATGCGCCGAAAGTACACTTAGAGGCGTTCACAACGAGGCCGTATTGCTGAAGACGTTGGAACAGAGCGCGTAGATGGTGCTCATGATCTTCAGGTGTGCGGCTGGCGATGTCATCGTCAAGGTACGCAAACACAGTGGGTCATCAGTGGGTCGTTCGCCGCGAAGTTAAAGAAAGTTAGGACAGCTTGGAAAGGCCCTGAAATCTGCACAGCCGGAGGTCATCTCGTAACGCCTGCAGGAATCTGCACAGCGAGAGTCACCATCAACAGCCGTATTTATCCTACAGACTTCGTAGTCCTACAGCATTGCTCGAGAGATGCCATCCTTGGCATGGACTTCTTATGCCTCCATGGTGCTGTCATCAAGCTAAAAACAAGGTCGATAACGTTATCCACAGAAGAAGCACTAGCCACCGCGCACGCCGTCAGGACACCATGCCTTGAATGTGCTGGAAGAACAAGTCACCATTCCGCCTCGCTCAAGCGTCATTATTTCAGTCGGCGCTCCTAAATCACCTGACTTGGAAGGCGTCGTTGAAGGCAGTCAGCATCTGTTGGTCACCCGAAATGTTTGCGTCGCAAGAGGAATTGCAGAGCTGCAGGGGAGGCAAAGCAACGGTTATGCTCACGAATTTCAGCAATGAGTAAAAACATGTAAACAAAGGAACAACGGTCGTATACATCGAAGAAATTGTCGAAGCCACCAGTGCTTTCGCCCTCGCCGATTCTGCGGAACCTGATCAGAGGAACCGAGCTTCTCCCATAGCTTTCGACGTCAATCCCAGACTTCCGAACGATAAGCAAGAACAGCTCAAGGCCCTGCTCCTGCAATACGAAGATTGCTTTTCGTCGTCATCGAAAATTCGGCCGACCCCAATCACGAAACATCGCCTCATAACCGAAGAAAATGCCAGACCACTCCGTCAGAGTCCGTACAGCGTTTTGACGCGAGAACGTGAGGCCATGAAGAGACAAGTTGATGAAATGCTGCGGGATGACATTATCCAGCCGTCCAAGAGTCCATGGGCATCCCCCGTGGTGTTAGTGAAGAAAAAGGATGGGGCCCTACGTTTCTGCGTCGATTATCGCTGCCTGAACAAAATCACAAGAAAGGACGTGTACCCTCTCCCACGAATAGACGACGCACTTGATCGGCTCCATAACGCCAAGTACGTACGTTTCGTCAATGGACCTCAAGACTTGCTATTGACAAATCGAAGTCGACGAAAGAGACCGAGAGAAGACGGCGTTTATAACACCGGATGGCCTCTTCGAGTTTAAGGTGATGCCCTTCGGCCTTTGCTCAGCGCCTGCAACTTTTCAACGCGTTATAGATACAGTACTGGCAGGATTGAAGTGGCAGACTTGCCTTGTGTACTTGGACGACGTCGTCGTGTTTTCCTCGAGTTTCGACGAGCATCTCCGGCGCCTTGAAGCTGTACTTCAAGCCATCAAGACATCCGGACTCACCATGAAGCCAGAAAAGTGCAGATTTGCGTACGAGGAGCTCTTGTTTCTGGGGCACGTTATCAGCAAGTCTGGAGTTCGTCCCAATCCACGAAAAACAGCCGCCATCGCCGACTTCCCGCCGCCCACTGACAAGAAGGCGGTGCGCTGATTTCTGGACCCGTGCGCCTATTATAGGCGGTTCGTGAAAAACTTCGCCAGCATCGCCGATTCTCTCACTAACCTTACCAAGGCTGACGTGGAGTTCAAGTGGGAAACGCCACAGGAAGCACGCTTTCCAGGAGCTTAAACATCACCTCCAGACGCCTCCGTTACTTACCCATTTCGACGAATTTGCCGAGACAGAAATACATACTGACGCAAGCAGCGTAGGTCTTGGCGCCGTTCTTGTGTAGAGGGCTGACGGACTTGAAAGGGTTATAAGTTACGCCAGCCGATCGCTATCCAAAGCAGAAGTAAATTATTCCACAACAGAAAAGGAGTGCCTCGCCATCATCTGGGCTACGTCGAAATTTTGCCCCTACCTCTACGGCAGACCCTTCAAAGTTGTGAGCGACCACCACGTCTTGTGTTGGCTAGCCACCTTGAAGGACCCTTCAGGTCGCCTCGCACGATGAAGCCTGAGACTTCAAGAATATGAGATTACTGTCATTTACAAGTCCGGCAAAAAACACTCCGACGCCGACTGTCTCTCTCGTGCGCCTGTCGACCAACCGCTACCCGACGACCCGGATGACGACTACTTCTTGGGAACGATAACTACCGACGACTTCGCTGAACGACAGCGGGCCGACCCGGAACTTAAGGCCCTAATAGAATACCTCGAAGGCAGGACCGCCGAAGTCCCGAAGGTATTCAAGCGCGCACTTGCGTCGTTCTTTCTACGAAACGGTCTTTTACAAAAGAAAAACTTTTCACCGCTTCGAGCTAAGTACCTCCTTGTGGTGCCTTCAGCTCCGCGACCAGAACTCCTGCAGGCCCTCCACGACGATCCGACGGCACGGCACCTCGGTGTTTCTCGCACGCTCGCGAGGATACAAGAAAGGTACTACTGGCCACGTCTTACCACCGACGTCGCTCGTTATGTGAGGACATGCCGTGACTGTCAGCGACGCAAGACACCGCCGACAAGGCCAGCGGGACTTCTGCAGCCAATTGATCCACCTTGCCGACCTTTCCAGCATATTGGTATGGACCCACTGGGGCCGTTCCCGATGCCGTCTTACGGAAACTAGTGGATTGTGGTAGCTACCTACTACCTCACCCGCTACGCCGAGACAAAAGCCCTGCCAAAAGGCAGTGCATCCGAGGTAGCTAAGTTCTTCGTCGAAAATATCGTCCTACGTCACGGCGCCCCGGAGGTCCTTATCACCGACAGAGGAACGGCATTCACTGCCGACTTAACTCAAGCGATCTTGGCATACAGCCAGACAAACCACCGCCGGACGACAGCGTACCACCCACAGACCAACGGCCTCACCGAGTGGCTTAACAAGACGATCGCCGACATGCTGTCAATGTACGTCGATGTCGAACACAAGACGTGGGACGCCATTCTTCCGTATGTGACCTTCGCATACAACACGGCGGTGCAGGAGACGACGCAGATATCTCCATACAAATTGGTCTACGGAAGGAGCCCGGCACGACGCTCGATGCCATGTTACCCAACGTCACCGACGAAGAAAACTTCGATGTGAGCGAGTACCTTCAACGCGCCGAAGAAGCCCGACAACTTGCACGTCTCCGTATCAAGAATCAACAGACGACCGACAGCCACCGTTACAATCTTCGACGACGCTTAGTGGAATGCCAGCCCGGTGAACGTGTTTGGATGTGGACGCCGATAAGCCGACGTGGACTAAGTGAAAAGCTTCTGCGACGGTACTTCGGACCGTACAGGGTGGTTCGACGTCTCGGCCCACTTGATTACGAGGTTGTCCCCGATGGCATCACGAACTCTCAACGACGCCGATCGCGACCTGAAGTCATCCATGTCGCGCGCCTCAAGGCGTTTCATGCGCGTTAACAAACTGAACCAGTGTTTTTTTGTATTATTGTTGTATCGTAATTTATTCATTGTACTTTCTTGCATTATTGTCGTACCTTCATCTTTAGTGAAAGCATCGGGACGATGCCTTTTTTGGAGGGGGGCAACGCCACGTTCCATTTCCCAAGTTTTTGTTATCGTCCCAAAACACCACACGATTCTCAGCACAAAGCGCACCTGCAGTTTTCGAGAAGGTTCCGGACTGTAGTAGATCATTTCGATAAGATCACGCCTACTGTGCAAACGGTACAGATTATTCTGGAACCTACGCCACTGCCAGCGATAACGCTAGAACATTCGGCGGCAAGAGTATAAATGCCGACGCGCTTCGCCGCTTGTCAGTTGTTGTACGAAGGCCAACGCTTCGTTCGCCGCCATCAGTCCGAGACTGCTATCTGTGCAAGACTGCTGCTGTAATTGGAGTTTCCGTTTACTGGGCACAGGTTCGCCCAAATAAACAGTTAAACCCCAACACGAAGTCTCCTGTCTTCGGCCACGTCACGATGCCGTGACAATATCAAATTTTCAAAAATAGTCATTTTTGTAAACCTGTCAATATATTAAAATGGTTTAGTTGATTCATGATTATGCAAGCAGTTCTTGCATGCCTGTGGCACTGGCAGGCTGACTGTAGGCAGGCTGAATTTGTAATGTTCTAAAGCCTCAGCATTTTGGTGTTATATTACACTCAAATATTTTATGAATTTAATTATGAAATTTGCTCACAATGAGTTTGCTAAAAATTAAGCAACCAAAGTCTGTGTATATATTGCCCACATTAACGTCACACTGCCACAAGTTTCTAGGCGGAGCCTGACCGCTACAGAGCGCGTTCTCGGGTGGTGGATAGAGAAAAGTCTTGCAATGAAGTGATGCTAAGCAGCTTCTATTAATAAACAAGACTTGCACTTGTGCCCGCGGACCAACAGGCAGAAAACACATATGGTAACAGGAGTCTTTTCACTGCTGTGGTGGGCAAGTTGAAAGTTTCAGTTGCCATTTTTAAACTCTTTGATTTATCTGTTGTTTTTTTCGTCTGTTTTCTTCATCTTGTACAGGTCCAGTACATTGTGGACTCACCCTGTTGTCAAGTCGTAAGGAAGTTGGATGATGCTGTCTTCTTCCAGCTAAATTATGCAACTACTAAGAAGGGGATGAGAATTATATTTTGTAGCAGTTATTTTACAAACAAATGTTAGTAAAATTTTTCTTGGTTGTAGTAGTGTCATTGTGTATTCACGGACCATAACATTACATAAGACAGAAATTCAAGTTCACAGCAAAAAAAGTGCTACTATGAGCACCTGTTATGAATATCAGCTGGTCATTCTTAATTTTGGTCTTTTATTTATCGCACATCAAGTAGCCGCGATTAATTGGTTTACAGGCTGAGAGAAAATTTAGCTCCCTTTTTTGCACGCAGAAGGTTGATGGCAGTGAAACAGCGTTGTCAGCATTTTGATAGATACTTTGAAAATGAACGTGAAAACGTCGGAGGCACAATACAAAGGCGAAGTACTGAGTCTTTCTTATCTCGTGTCTCCACCATGTTCGTGGCCGTTTTCCAAGAATGCATAGTTTCCAACTCGACCTTACTGAAATATTGTGAAAACTTTATGAAAACATGAATCCCCGAAGTTCAGTATAAAACTTTACATAGAATGCATCCCTTCTAGCGTCAACAGTTGAGCTATTACAAAACTTTGATAAGTCGCAATACACATAAAAGCAAGTATGGTCAAGCTTCACTGCCTTGTGTAAGCACTGCGGTAAAGCCAGCGTGAGCAGAAGAGCATTATATGATACAAAATGAACGCATGCACAGGCCACTTGTGCATCAAACAAATATAAGCATTTGCGACTGCTCAGGACAAATATGCATCTTGGCACGTCCGTTTCAGGGAGACAAAAAGACAATTACCAAAAGATTATTAAGCTTCACTGCATCGCGAAAGCACTGCGGTAAAGCCAGCGTGAGTAGAAAAGCATTACATGATACGAAATGAACGCATGCACGGGCCACTTGTGCATCAAACAAATAAAAGCATTTGCGACTGCTCAGGACAAATATGCATCTTGGCACGTCCGTTTCAGGGAAACAAAAAGACAATTACCAAAAGATGATTAAGCTTCACTGCATCGCGAAAGCACTGCGGTAAAGCCAGCGTGAGCAGAAGAGCATTACATGATACGAAATGAACGCATGCTCAGGCCACTTGTGCATCAAACAAATAAAAGCATTTGCGACTGCTCAGGACAAATATGCATCTTGGCACGTCCGTTTCAGGCAAACAAAAGGATAAATACTAAAATATGATCAAGCTTCACTGCATCGCAAAAGCACTGCGGTAAAGCCAGCGTGAGCAGAAGAACATTACATGATACGAAATGAACGCATGCTCAGGCCACTTGTGCATCAAACAAATAAAAGCATTTGCGACTGCTCAGGCCAAATATGCATCTTGGCACGTCCTTTTCAAGCAGACAAAAGGACAAATACTAAAATATGATCAAGCTTCACTGCATCGCAAAAGCACTGCGGTAAAGCCAGCGTGAGCAGAAGAACATTACATGATACGAAATGAACGCATGCACAGGCCACTTGTGCATCAAACAAATAAAAGCATTTGCGACTGCTCAGGCCAAATATGCATCTTGGCACGTCCGTTTCAGGCAAACAAAAGGACAAATACTAAAATATGATCAAGCTTCACTGCATCGCAAAAGCACTGCGGTAAAGCCAGCGTGAGCAGAAGAACATTACATGATACGAAATGAACGCATGCACAGGCCACTTGTGCATCAAACAAATAAAAGCATTTGCGACTGCTCAGGCCAAATATGCATCTTGGCACGTCCGTTTCAGGCAAACAAAAGGACAAATACTAAAATATGATCAAGCTTCACTGCATCGCAAAAGCACTGCGGTAAAACCAGCGTGAGCAGAAGAGCATTACATGATACGAACACGATATGAAATGAACGCATGCACAGGCCATTTGTGGATCAAACAAATATAAGCATTTGCGACTGCTCAGGCCAAATATGCATCTTGGCACGTCCTTTTCAAGCAGACAAAAGGACAAATACTAAAATATGATCAAGCTTCACTGCATCGCAAAAGCACTGCGGTAAAGCCAGCGTGAGCAGAAGAGCATTACATGATACGAACACGATATGAAATGAACGCATGCACAGGCCATTTGTAGATCAAACAAATATAAGCATTTGCGACTGCTCAGGCCAAATATGCATCTTGGCGCGTCCTTTTCAAGCAGACAAAAAGACAATTACCAAAAGATGATTAAGCTTCACTGCATTGCGAAAGCATTCCGGTAAAGCCTATAAGTAAATGATGTGCAGCAATCAAAGGATATATGCCTCATTCATCGTACCCACCTGTTGGTGTATTAAAGCTGCTCACATTTGGCAGGCTATTATGTGAGTGAGAGGCAATACCTGATGTGATAATAGCTGTTACATTTCTTTAATTGCTCACTTTGGCAACTATAGCTGGTTGATTGCAAGTTGAATTTGCATGAGTCCTTGAGTTACTTAGCCACGTGCCATCTTTGCACATGATGCCTTAGCTGTCACAAAGTTATATAGATAGATTGACGTGGCGTGGCTTTGATTGCGCGCGCAGTGCTGTTTAGGTTAACTGCTGCAGATTGGGAATAAATATTTAAAATCTCGTGGTACGCGATGCATTTGGTCAGGCATGCAGGGATTATTCCTAATGTACGTCTCCTGCTTACGAGCTGCGCAGTCTGCGATCTGCGCCGATAGACAAACTGATGATGGAAGAAAAATTACTCTCTCCCACTAAAGGGAACCATGCATACGTGTGAAGCAGCGGGCGCTAACGCTTACACAGGCGGCGCCGTTGACGCTGGCTCTCATCGCGGCGTTGCGCAGGAGATCAACCTGGGGACGAGGCGCTAAGCACGCAGTGATGGACCGGTGTTTCTTACTGTAACATGCCAATCACTGCTAATGGGTGAGAGACACAAGACTCTTATTAAATGCAGAGACCCTCAGTAAACTTTTAACTAAGTATAACGCGCACTCTGCTCATTTTCATTGTTCAACAACGCACAAGAGAAATCTATCACCAGCACTACCTTGGAGGTCAATATCCAGTGCCTAATATGGGGTGGCCAGTGAACGGTTGTGCAGTGCTAGCAGTCATTTTTTTTATCAAGGAACTCGCTATCAGATGATGCTTGCGTCGGTGGTGCGAGTCGAGAGAGGGGGGAGTGTAGGAGAGAAGAGAGACGGGGAGAGGGCGCGCATGCGCAGCAAGGGTGGTCACGCCACACACAGCATTGAACTCGACCATAACATGCTTGGCATCTAAAATGGCCCCAGTGTACGAGAGAAAATTGCTGGATCTGCAGTCGAAGATTTTCCGCTAAAGAAATGTAGACTGCAGACTCTAGATCACATTACGGGCTGCCATTCAGTTCAGCATATTAAAAATATTAGTTAATTTACAAGGAGCATACTACGAACTATAGCTACGTGTACTTTATAAATGTGCCCGCAAAATCACCTGTAAATTTACATGGTGGACACTAATCCAGAGTTCCCGCCTGTTTCTGAAGCATTGTTACTGCAGAACACTGAAAAACATTGCTGCAGGTGCATATATATATATATATATATATATATATATATATATATATATATATATATATATATATATATATATATATATATATATATATATATATGACGCTATGATGACTGGGAGACGTGGCCTGGCTCATACGCCATGTTTATTCTACTGTGCACTTCTTCCTCCTCTACTTCTCCTAACCATCCCTGCCTTCTTACGTCATATATATATATATATATATATATATATATATATATATATATATATATATATATATATATATATATATATATATATTGTTATATATATTATATATATATAGTTGTTATATATATATATTCACACAGCAATTCATACACGCCATTCTAACAACCTGATTCATACACATGGCCCCACTCATGGGTTGGCTGCTGTGAGGAGCATGCACAAAAGCTTTCGTTGACCTTCGCAGTGCATCATGTTACTGTAACATAAACCACAGCGTCATAAGGCTAGACTTTATTTTAGTTTTATGACATTCTTTGGCTCTCAAGGAGCAGGATGCTCTTCTTGAAAAGAAAAAGAAAAGGAAGATCCCATGCACAGTATACAGAAATCGATGCATAATGTGAAGCAGCCAGGAAGGAGGAAACCATGCTGTACAATTAGGACGTGGATATTATGATTTGCATGTTAGGAAATGTCATTTATGGTCATCATACAGTGGTATGCAATGCAAATTTCGCTGTATATTAAGCTAGAGAAATTGCCGCAAGCACACCAAGAGCCCGGCATGTAAATCACGTGGTGCATGATTGTATGTCATAATTTACATGTTACCGTTTGCTCATTATGTCCATCATGCAGTCACGTCCATAGGTTGACGAACCCACAAACGAGTCGACTCAATCAAACTCAGATCAAGCCGTGAGCCTCAGTCTGAATGAGCTGCATAAGTTTTGCTGACCTATGGTCATGTCATATTAATTTTTATATTGTCACGGGGTCGTGACGTGGCCGAAGACAGGAGACGTCGTGTTCGGATTTAACTGTTTATTTGGGCGAACCTGTGCCCGGTAAACGGAAAGTCCAATTACAGCAGCAGTCTCGCACAGATAGCAGTCTCGGACTGATAGCGGCGAACGCAGCGTCGGCCTTCGATCAACAACTGACAAGCGGCGAAGCGCGTCGGCATTTATACTCTTGCCGTCGAATGTTCTAGCGCTATCGCTGGCGGTGGCGTAGGTTCCAGAACAATATGTACCATTCGCACAGTGGGCGTGATCTTATCGAAATGATCCACTACAGTCCGGAACCTTCTCGAAAACTGCAGGCGCGGTTTGTGCTGAGAATCGTGTGGTGTTTTGGGATGATAACAAAAACTTGGGAAATGGAACGTGGCATTGCCCCCCTCTTAAAATGCATCGGCCCGATGCTTTAACAAAAGATGAAAGTACAATAATAATGCAAGAAAGTACAATGAATAAATTACGATACAACAATAATACAAAAAAAACACTGGTTCAGTTTGTTAACGCGCATGAAACGGCTTGAGGCGCGCGACATGGACGACTTCAGGTCGCGATCGGCGTCGTTGAGAGTTCGTGATGCCGTCGGGGACAAC